TGTTGGAAAATAGATGATTTCTTTATTCTTAATATATAATTGGTAAGAATCAAAATTTTTTTATTAATGCATTATAATCAATTATTAACTATCCGGGAAATCAATACATTTTTATTTAGAATCACCCCCCCCCCCTCTTCCCTTCACTAAGAAATTTAATGTTCATGCTTTATAATATTGTTTTCAGTTGAAATACCAAATCTACGATTTCTATCATTACAACTATTGTTGATAATCGGCATGTTGATTTAGTCGATTTTTTTTTCAAAACGGCTAACTCAATATTTTATCCATAAAAATATTGTCTAAGTCTCGAGATTTCCAATAATATATGTCTAAACCCGTTCCTTCTATGAGCAAAATCTTCAGACTTGCCAAATATTTTTCTGGATGAAATATTGAGTTATCCGTTTTTAAAAAATCGGCTCAAAACGAGCCGTTTAACAACACTACTCATCAGAGTTGTTAAAAGATACTTTTTAAATGGATCTAGATACAGATACATCGTCTAAAATAATATCTAGATACCGATATTTTAATCAAAAATCTATCTAGATAAAGATACCACATTTTTATATCTAGATACAGGATCTAGATACTTGTATCTAGATCCTTTAACAACACTACTCTTTTGATACATAATTTAATGTAATATAATATAAATAAAATATGTTAAATATTTGACACCTAAAATCCTATACGTTTTATGGCCTTTCGAATGAGTGGAGGCGATGAACGAATAAAAACGTATTTTGAGAGAGAAATAAAATGTTAAATATCCTAAATTTTTGTTGTATAAAGTTTGCGAGGTTTTTTTTTTGGTATACTTGATATTTAAAAAGTGTGAAATATTTTATTTTTCAAAAAAAAAGCCACAAATTTAGCGCAAAGGTGTTATGTAAAAAAAAAATTACAAATACGAGAGAAGATTTGAAAAGAACTATGGCAATGTATTATAATAATAAATAATGGTATGAGGGATTATAAGGATATGTATGATTAGAAAAAAAAATATCTAAACATTTCGATAAAAAAATGATCCATATAATTAATTTAATTGTGGGATAATGTCATTAAAAAAAATAATAAAATATAATAATAATTTAGATTTTTTAGATAAAACAACAAAATTTCTAGAAATAAGTGGAGAAAGATCTATAAAAAAACCAAAGAAAAGATATTAAAAATATGTTTGAAAGAAGAAAAACGATGTAAATATATGTGATAACAATGCTGCTTATTTATAGGTTCCTAATATCTAAGAGAGCATCTTACTAGTAGTAAATTTAAGGAAGTATGTGATGCTATAAAAGATTTATTGATAAATTTTATATGTAAAAGCTGCATGTTTAATAGAAAAATATGTGAAAATCAGTAACTTCCATAAGAAACAACCAGATTCCGACCTCAGGTTAGTGGAATGGCCCTTGCTCAATTGCCCATTAATAGAAGTGACATTTTAATTACAATTTACAATTCCAAGTTCTACTTCTTCTTCAGAAAGAAATTGATCGATTTGGGTAAATATTTTTACTAAAACAGAAATCGATTGAAGAACTCGACAAGAAGAAAATTGATAAAAAAAATATTGAAGAATTGAATTTGAATATCAGAGCAAGATTCTACCATGGAGAGTAAAATTTTAAATATTGAATGACAATGAATTTAAAAAGTATTATAAAATTAATATTATAGATTCATTTCATTATACTATATTATATAAAAAATAAAGTTAATATTGTCTTAAAAAAACATTTATTTGAATTTGACCATATTTGACTGGTGAAATACCATCCCTGATACGGATTGGGAATGAACGCGACTAATTTATACTTGAAGGGAAATTTTTAATTTTGAAAAACCTCTATATTAATTTCATAGAAATTTCTCATACAAATTTTTAAGGTTTATTTGCCAAAATTATCTGTATATGATAGGTTCCCCCTCACATGGCTTGGGATGCATTTCGGGGCAAATTATTAATTTTTTTTAAATTTTAGAATATCACTCTCTCAGTAAATGATTTAAAATATAGGAATCACCCTGGAGTCCATCTTCCAATACGACATATAGGCAACAATTTTTTTTATTAGTTTAGAAGCTATCTAGCGATAACGCATAGCCGCTTTACCCCAAGATGATATCTAATATAATCTTTATTACTTGATTTATAGTTAATACTTAACTAATAAACTTCCATTATTATAGATATAAGACTTTAAGGACCATATTGTATAAATTAAATTATTAATTAAGAATATTATTTTTTTTCCCCAAAAGCCTAAAAATAATGCTAAGAAGGTTATTTATTATACTTTTTTTTATAATGTATGAGTTAAAAAAAAATAAATAGTTTTTTGAAAAATATTTCGAAACAGAAATATTTTTTCAAGGGATCAGCTAAGGTTAGAAATTATATGTAAAAATAAATTTATGGACCAAGATTAAGATTCTCTTGGATGCTCAATACACTAACACTGCTATTTGAGTTCTTTTCTAGAGATCTGCAAGAGACAAATTTTTTCGACCCAATTCATACCCGTAAAATTATTTTTTAGCATCCTATTCCACCCAGTATATTAATCATGATAAATCTAACCTAAAAGATCTATAGGCTGAATTTTCTGAGTTTGATCAAGTTTTATGACCTTTCTCCCCCCCCCCCCCTTCCATCCCCTACCTCAAAAAATACAGATCAAAATACAAGTTTTTGTAATATATTTTAAAAATCTCTGGAGTGACAACTACCACCTAACCGATGGTAAATATTGTATTAATAATTAGCGCCCATTTTTTTAAAAAAAGTTATCAACCATAAAATGATTTCAGTTTTGGGGTTGGGGCTCAGATAATTTAACCCAGAAAAGAGGGAGATCTACGCCACGCGAGAAAGATAAAAATGAGGGAAGCAAATAAATGTGTATGAATACAACGAGATAGAAAGAAAAGGGAGGGATTATAATTGTAATAATGATTAATTAAGAAAAAAAAATTTATTTTTAAATTATTCTTCTTTTTAAAGAAAAAACCAAATTTTCCCACATTTACACTCTAATTGTATAGTGCAGATTTAGAGATACAAGTTAATTACACGACTAATGTAGAGGGCTTATTAAAACAATTTTTCTTTTTTTTTAAAAATAATTATACTAAATGAAAAGTTTTATGGCAAATAATTTTTTTTAGATACAAGAAAAACAACCATACTCGAGTTTCATGCCAAATAATCCATAAATTTCGAGAGATTAAGAGATGAAAACAAATTTCTCATAAAAATTTTTTTTCAACAAATAAAATATTCGTTTACTATCCTACTGTCGTTAATGTGGCACTGATTAAACATTATCCTTGAATTTAATTCCAAGAATAAATTTATAATATTTTCATAAATGAAATTTTTTATTAAAGCTTATAAAATATTCTATCTTTTTAAAACCTTTTTTTTCCGTATCTACTTCCGAGTTATCTATAATTTACCCAATATTTTGATTTTAATATATTTTTTTTCCTTAATAAAATCGAAAATAGTGGAGTTATTTTAACCAAGTGGTGATGGGGAGGGAGAATTTTACCTCCTTGAATAAATTTGTTAATTCAGAAACATCATACTGCAGCATAACAATGAAACCCTCTCCCCCCCCCTCCCCTACCCCTTCTAAAATATCGAATCCTGTAAGAGGGTAAATTATAAAAAAACACTTTTTTTTTACAAGCACATTTATAACTTTTAGCGGAAAGGAGCCTTTTTTCTTTTTTTTTCTTTTCTTTTCTTTTCTTTTCTTTTCTTTTCTTTTCTTTTCTTTTTTTTTCTTTTCTTTTCTTTTCTTTTCTTTTCTTTTCTTTTCTTTTCTTTTCTTTTCTTTTCTTTTCTTTTCTTTTCTTTTCTTTTCTTTTCTTTTCTTTTCTTTTCTTTTCTTTTCTTTTCTTTTCTTTTCTTTTCTTTTCTTTTCTTTTCTTTTCTTTTCTTTTCTTTTCTTTTCTTTTCTTTTCTTTTCTTTTCTTTTCCTTTCTTTTCTTTTCTTTTCTTTTCTTTTCTTTTCTTTTCTTTTCTTTTCTTTTCTTTTCTTTTCTTTTCTTTTCTTTTCTTTTCTTTTCTTTTCTTTACTTTTCTTTCCTTTTCTTTTCTTTCCTTTTCTTTTCTTTTCTTTTCTTTTCTTTTCTTTTCTTTTCTTTTCTTTTCTTTTCTTTTCTTTTCTTTTCTTTTCTTTTCTTTTCTTTTCTTTTCTTTTCTTTTCTTTTCTTTTCTTTTCTTTTCTTTTCTTTTCTTTTCTTTTCTTTTCTTTTCTTTTCTTTTCTTTTCTTTTCTTTTCTTTTCTTTTCTTTCCCTTCCCTTCTCCTTTCCATTCCTTTCCTTACAAGCAAAAATAAAACATATCATATTATATCTGAAAAAATTAAATATTAAAAACACAATATTTTATATTTTAATTTATAAAAAGACTAATAAACCAAAAATAAATATTAAAATACTTTCAAATAAAAAACAATAAAAAAAATTAAGACAATTAAAACCAATTTATTTATTTAATTTTATTTTACCTTTTTTTTTTGTAATTAATTTTTTCTTTTAAATATATAAATTTTTTCTTTATTAACTGTTAATAAAAAAATGTTAAGAATTTTATTTTTTTGAACTCCAATTTATCTTAATCCTCTTACCTTTTAATTTGAAAAAAAAATAAATAATGTTAAAATATTTAAAAATTAAATCAAATTAAATCATTCATCTCTCTAAATATTATTATTTAATTATATAATACCTTTTAAATTTATATATTAAAATCAAAAATGTATTTATATGTTATATTATATAAATTTAGTAAAAAACACTAAACAGGTTACAGGATAGGTTAAGATAAATATTACAATTCAATTATAATAATAAAGTTTAATATTTTGTGGTTTTTTAGTATATTCTTTGCCTAAAAAAAATCATTACAATTCAATGACTCAGAATTATCTCTGTATTAAAAATTTTTTTTAAAAATATATTTTTTATATAGAGAAATATAAAAGGATTATTTTCATGAACTTGAGGAAAAAAACACGTATTTTTTTCCTAATACTTGGATATTCTTCACAAGACTTACAATGAATTCGGTCATTATCTTCTTCGCAATCCTTATATGCCCGCCAAAATGCTTGGAAGCTTATCCAGATAATTGTTACGGCAAAAACCCGTTAGCGATGTTTACTAGCTGCCCTAAATTTGTCAAATGCCCACCCGGTTATAGCCTAACCCGAGACCGGATTAGTTGTTGTGCCACTTGTGCCGAATTGACTACCGGCCTTTGTACTACCTTCAACTCCAGTCAAAGGATTCCACAAAATGATAACTTTATCGATTCGATTGTAGATTCCAAGGATTTTGGTGAAGCTATATGTAATTCGGAGGCAATTTGCCTTGTAGAACCCGGTTACAATGGACTATGCTTGGAACAAGGTTATTTCACATATTTTGTATTATTGATAAAGAAAATTTTTTTTAAACGTTATTGATTATAAATGAAGTATAAATTTCTAGATAAAGAAAATTTATCTAATATCTAGATAAATTTTGGAGATTAAAATATAAAATTGCAATTATTTTTACCGATTAATCGTAAAAATTATATTATATCAAAATTTCATGGATATTTTTCAATGCGTTTTGTTTCCTTCTCTTAAATAAACTGGTAATTCATTTTTATGATTTGCTGGTTTCAAAAAAAAAAAAATTATAAAATTGTTTAGGAATGGAATAGAGAGAAAAATCCTTGAAGAATTTAAAATGCTTTTTGTTTTTTATTATTTATTTTCATTATTTTTTTAAATATTTCATTCATTCTTTTTATTTTCTTTCTATTTTGCTATGTGGAAATCATTTACCATATCATACCTGGTTTAAATTTAAAAAAAATAAGATAATTTAAACACCTTGTAGTTTACGTTTCTTTCACACCTTAAATAAAATAAACAACTCTCTATATAAAATTTTACAAATTTGCGGTTCAAATTTTTTAATATTAAATTAATTTTTATATTTTTTTCCCCAATAAATATTAATAAAAATCAGGTTTTTTAAAAAAAAATTAAAATCCTTCATTTTAAAATGGTAAGAATCGCTCAACAACCTATTGTGTCCAGTGGAGTATAACTATAGGAATTATTCAGGATGCAAAATTATCGGCGGCTTATGCTTGTGCCAATCCATAAGGATTTGCGATAAATATGACGTTCTATTTCCATTCCGTGATCTCGAAGAATGCCAGGATTCACTGAATTCCTTCAATTCCGATTTTAATCATAGTAAAAAAAACAAATATTTTAAAATATTAATTATTAATTACTAAAATAACCTTAGAAAACAGGTATATCGATATTTGAAAGAAAGACAGAAAGAAAGATAAGCAAGAAAATATCAATTTAAAATGATTTATTTTTCGATTAACCAATATAAATTCAAAAGCTCATAAATTATCAAACTTTTACATATAAGAAAAAAACCATAAATATCTAAAGAAAACAGTAATTATAATTTTTAAATAATATTTTTTTTGGAGGGGAGGTAACAATAAAAACTAACAGTTTTAGTTCGAAAATGAAATTTAATTAGTACTAAATTTATACTTCAAAAAGATATTTTATATTTGAAAAAAAAATATGTAAATAATCATTAAAAGCTGATGGATGAATTGATGATGTGCACAAAGGAGATGTATTATTATTAAATTTTTGAACTATTTTAAGAATTAAATTTTAAATTTAAAGCTAATTTTATCGAGCATTAACGTTTTTTTCTGGGTTTTAATATATATATAAAAAAATTTAAAAAAAAACGGTTTATGTTGTGTTATAGAAATAATTTCATCGTTAAGATAATGTATTTAAAATATGTTTTTCTACGGAAATAATGTGTTTTATATTATCAATTAAACAAATTTATTGTAAAAATAATAAACATAAAGTTTATACGAATTTGCTATAGAAAATCCACCATTTATATATAGGAGTGAAAATGAATTATATCCCAAAATCCAAAAATAAATTCAAATCAAACCCATACCATCTTTTTAAAAACAAGCTATTAAGCTTTAAAAATTTTCTCTGACTTCAAATATCTAGATAGCTTATAGAATATGATATTCTGGCAATAACCCTGAGTTGAACATGGGAAGGGGAAATCTAAATGTACTGAAATAGGTTAGGTTGGATGCCGAATTAAATTAAATGTGATAATATTTCGATACATAAATTTTGTTTTATATACTTTATATATTTATAACCCATAATATATTATTTAATCTAACTCTACTCTCTATTATTCTTTTTAAAGTTGATCCTATGATAATAAAAGACATAATGCCATGTCTCGGTCCGTCTTATTTATAAAACATATTTCTGTTTAGTACAACCAGGTTAAACATATTTTGAATTAGAACACTCTTTTGGTTTGCTGTAAGTTTTGTTAGATTAAATAAATATTATATTGCTAACAAACAAATGATCCTTTACGTAAATCAGCTATATAGTCGGCTAAACAGATGACAATTTAAAAATAAGACACCAGGATACCATCTAAATTTTTTTATCCTCTAAATTAAAAAATATTTAAACACCGAATAAACAATAGCATATATTTTTTTTTCAGGCTAAAGCCATTTTTGAAAGTTTGAAAAATTGAGAGTTTTCTAGCTATTATATAAAAAAGATAAAAATATAGAGTTATAAATCATACAGAATAGTTTCAAAATATATTATAAAATATAATCATTACATTTGAAGATAAAATTTTAAATTACAAACACGCAAAATATCAAAATTCTTGGAAATGATATTTGACAACGTTAGATTTTTGGCTTGCTATCTTAAAATTTTATGCTATATAAAACGATAGAACGAGCTGGTATGGTCTTGGTCGTATCATATATCATAATTAAAACATTATAAAAGAACGTTTTTTTGCCTAAAAATGATACGTATTGAAAATCAGCATATTAATAATATATCTCAAAATGTATAATAAACAAAAATACACCAAATTTTGTATGAATATTATTTAGCCGACTAAAATTTTAACTAAAATTATCGGATCAAAATATTAAAAATGTTATATTTTAAGCGAGGAGATGACCAAACTAAATGTTTAAATACTATTTCTACCGAGATCATAAATATAACATTTTAGCCGCTAAGTATAATAAATTCTTGAAAGAAAATCAGTGATTAAGCACATGTCAAAGTTTAAGCCTGACAATGACAAGGTTTTAATTTCCCATTTTTAAGCAGAATTCTTTTTTTTAAAAATTATGTTCATTTTAAAATGATTTACATTCTATATATTTATTTGACAACATATTAATAATTTTATTTTCGGATTTTTTTTAAAATGATAATAATTCGGTCCTCGATGGGTCGAACCATATATCTGAAATATACTAAACCAATCATAGAACCATTTGTAACCTGTGGCTATTCTTTCATTAAATATTAAATCTCGTAGTCATATCTATATAATTTAAATAAAAAAACTATGCCACTATACTGATGGGTAAGGGCTAGATTGATGCATCTAAACATATACCCTGTTTTGCCGGCTCAATTCCTGACGGAACCTATATTTCTGAACTCTTTTTTTTCTTCTTTCTGTCGTGTACTGGATTTGTATGTAATAGATATGGAACAGGGCATGATTTGGGGGGTATAATGGAACTCTTAAAAAAAGGAGGGGGGGGGGATCAAATAAAACTTTGCTAAACAACGACCCCAAGCTATATTTATCATCCACTCATTAAGTTTTAACAAAATTATCCCCAATTTTGTCGGCTCCCAAACATACCTAAAGGCTTAGCCAATTTTACGACGTCAATTTTTTCCCCCTTCACTTTTTTTTAGAAATATTATTTATCACATTTTTGAATTAAATTTTTTGAGTTCAGGCCTTTTCTTTAATGTCTTGTAAATTTTTTTTCGCGAAAATAATATTTATGTCTTCTCATTTACATATTAAAAATATAAAATTATTTGAATAATTTTAAATATTTGTATTTTTTCTTAATTTTTTAGGTATAATTTTGTTTTTGACACTACTATTTTCGTATAAAAGGAGAACCTGTTGCATAATATGTAAAAAGGTGTTTTTTGTGCTTAATGACTTTCAGTTTATTTTATTATTATTTTTTGGTATGTCTATAAAAAAATTGTTTTATGGCTTCTCTATTTTGTTTTTCCTTCCTCATTTAAAAAAAATTTGCCAGATTTTTAAAAATTATTCGCCATTTTATATAAGATTAGGAATATGGGAAGCGAACAAAGAATGCTTAATGATCCATCACGTGGTTTTTTAATGCATTTAAAGAAAAAAAGGAATAGGCTCCAAGGCCAGATTTTTTAGATAATACTATGCGAATCCGATCGGGGTAGGTCTCTGATATTATATTATTAATTTTAAATTTTTCTGTATATTAACTAGCATTGATACGTAACAGAGAGTAAGATGATAGTTTAACTACTCTCTGATATTATATTATTAATTTTAAATTTTCTGTATATTAACTAGCATTGATACGTAACAGAGGTAAGATGATAGTTAATAACTCAACTATGACCGCCTATAGTTGGGTGATAGCAAAAAAATCGACTAATACCGCTAAGTATACAGGCGGGTGCTGAAAAAGCCAAGCATTGAGATACGAATTAATTTATATCCGTTTTCTTCAAAGCTGAGAGCTTAAATTTCAAAGAAAAATTAGAGATTGAGGTGATAGTTTTTAGGCTAAAAACTAGGTTTCCCCGTTTTTTTTATAGCTTACTAAGAATTAGAGAAAACTGCTAATAATAGAGGAACTATCAAATTGTAAAGTGGCGCGTCAATATTCTTTCTCGAGTAGATCAGAAATTATTTTTGCATACTAATCTGAATTATTAATTTCCCATTTTCAAAAATTCAGCCCACTTATAGAGGTAACAGAGATAGGTAATCTGCATAGGGCCTGCTAAAGCCCAATCCGATTTTATTTATAAAAAACTTGTCTTGCCCGGTCCTATCCCGAACGAATTTTTTTATTTGTCCCGAAGAGCCCGACCCGAAATAAAAATAAAAAAGTATTTTCTCAACCCGGCCCGGTATTTTTTTAAAATAGACCCAGCCCGGCCAAACCCGTTCAGGCTAGACGGCCGGATACGTTTTTTTAAAAAAAAAACTATTAACATTTGTTCTACACAACAGGATGTAAAAAACAAACTTTTAAAGTTATATATACATAGAACCTACCATATTTAAGCGTAAGAATTTCTATTTTAGCCAGTTCTGATCGCCTTTAGTTCTCACTAATAATGTTTAAGTAAGTTAATACTTTAGAATGTTTTAAAATGTAATATAATAAATTTGTTATGAATTTATTAGTTATATTCATCGTTATAATAAAAATGTATTAATTTAAAAAATAACCAAAATTTATTTTAAATTACAAAAGTTGAAAGGTACAAAAGAGCCATAAATGAGGATGCCATCACAAATCACAAATGCCCATCAGATTCATACCCAGTATTTCTAAACTCCAGTCGCGATAATGGTATTCGAAATTTTCCTGTTCATTGCGAATGCAATGTTAGTGCTTGTTTGACCCCTCAAAAAGCGTGCCCTCAAAATTTAGAGCAAATTCTAAAAGAAGGCTTATCATCATCACTTATAGGTAAATTCTCTCTTTTTTTTTGTAATATTTATGTATTTTATCATCTTCCACATAGGTTATAAAACGGTTCAATTAAGGCCGGGGTACACTGAACACCCAGGAAAATGTTGTCCAGTATTCGAGTGTCTTCCCATTTACGAACTCTTCAAAGAAGAAAGCAATTTTACTAAAGGTTTTTATTCGATAATTATTAAATATTAATAGCAATATATAACTGAGGAGATCATTTAGAATTTTCGATATATTGGAATGAGGTAGATTTAAATTATTTATTTTACTGCTCGTCTCGAACAAAAAAAAAATTCTTTCTAAAAGATTAATTTTAGATAATAAAGAGCGCAATTAAAAATCTTTTATATAGTAGACACATCTGTAAAACTAACGATATTAAATGATTTTGTAGATGGCGTTAATTAAAAACATGTCGGCAAAATATTTAAATATAAAACGCTCTCATATAATATCAATTTTTTTTTATAGTTTATAAATGATATATTAAAAAACTTCAAAATGATTTTTTAAAATATAATTTGATGTATTTAACCTTTTCTTTAAAATCAAATCATACAATTTACGGAGATATAGTGACTTTAAAAAATATATATAATGTCGCCTCTTCAACTAATTAGGTTTGATTTTAACCTCCATATTGTGACCGGAAGTGGTTTATTAACTGGTATTTTTTATAAAAGCGGTCAAATAAAAGAATATTTTTTGAATATTTGAAAAACAAAATGTTAGGGAAATTTACTTGCGAAATTTTTTAAATAAATATATTCCTTTTTTTGGAAGATTCCCTTAACATGTTCGGTCTCACTTTTGTAATATTAATTATATTATGCATTAATTTTTATATCATATATAATATAAATTTTTCTTTATAAATTTAATATTAAATTTTATGGAAATGTTTCATAATTTAATTATTTTTAAGCAGTTAAAAGAAAAGTGTCTTATTTGTTATAATATAATTATGTACGCCAAAGATGATATGTTCAATATTGAAATATTATACTATGACAACCCATCATGCAGCAATCAAAAAAACATACTGTGTAAACAATTATTTTAGAAATAGATAAAGTTGAATAATGTTCAATTTAAGGTCTAAGAAAATAATTTTATATCGGAGGTAAACTATGTTGAGAGACGTGTCTGATGAGGAGAATATGAGCATCACATTGGCACGGATTATAAATCAAGTAACAGTGGATAGAATAAAGAAAATAGAATTGAAAATTTTATTTAAAAAATCAAAGTTACAGTTGCAATAAGATTTAAGGCCTTCGATCTCGATGATTTAATTAATTCAGAGAAACAGCAAATTTTTAGAGGCGTTCTTATATCAGATATATTAGATCTGGATGATGAAGATCTTTTCATAGAAGAGTTTTGAACCAGATAATTACGATAATTACATGACAAATATCATGAAACTTTAAAATTAAATGTACTTACACATTGATATAACATTTTACTGTTGTACGAAAGTGTGAGTGGCACTAATAAATCCCCAATTAATAGTTAAAAAGAATGGAAGAACACGACAATAAATTGTTTAGTTCTGATTAGGATTTAATGAAAGATCTATTCAAACTCCTAGTATCCAAAGATATCGTCGATATTTTATCATCTCAAAAAGAATGCACCAAATACTTGGCTATATTATTTCGCAATGAAATAGCTAATCCCCTCATGGTTATTAATGGAATAATAATATTGATACATCTTTCCTTAAACAAATATTTTCCAATAAATTGAATCATGGATTTCCAATTACTGATCTTCAGGTATTTAATATTTTTGGGATATATTGTTTACAAGGTATTGACTGCACCTGTAGATTCTAGATACAAAAGATGAATATAGTGAACCCTTATCTTTAGGAAATATATTTTACTCCTGTTCAATTTTTAAGCAATTAAGCTACCGCGCTATTGCCTTACATCGATATGGATCAAATAGATAAATACTAATGAGATGTTTGATTTTCATGTTGCATAAAATTAGTAAATAAATATTCATTTAATAGTCCACTATATCATGAATGATTTGCAACAAGAATGTTACTTATTATTTTCTCCTTTATCTTCACCAGTTCGTTAACAGAAAAGTTTGGAGCTGCCTAGATTTCCGTTTTCGCTAAAAAAAATATTATGTGTTCCAGCCACTAACACCTACAGTGAGCGCCTATTTTCTTTAGCTGGTCTAACCTAAACTCAAGAAGATTCTCATTATGTCCTTACAATTTTAATAAAATAATTTTTATAAATGATAACTCTAGTTTTATGAATTTAATTCAATGTATCATATTGGTCATAGAAAAATAAACTTTAATTTAAAAGATAGATAACTCTAATAAATGAGTAAATTTATGTGTTCATAAAATTTTAAAAACAAAAATTAATCAAAAAAAATGGAAAATAGTTTTTTTTTAAAGTAACTCACGCCGATATAAACGACGGCGTGAAAATCGGCATGAAACGCCGCTGCATTTTTACACCGGCGCACAGGTCTAGCAATATGTAGATAATAGAGAGTAATCAATATTTAGCGCTAATATTTTGAACCATCTATATATTCCTATTTGGATATATTATGTTAAATTTTAATGCCAAATTAGTGGAGAGAGGGGAATTATTCGTCTTTCATAAATCAGTTTCCGCTCTTAATTCAATTTCTTTACCATTTCTTTCAAGGCGAAGTTAATTGTTATGATTACTTAAAACTGTAACTGCAAACCCTTAAAATTCGGATTTCTTAAGCAAAAACAACATCAAAACCCGTTTATATTTTAAATTGTAACATTAAAAGCTAAAAGAAATATTTTTTATTCAAAATTAATATAGAACCGGAAATAAATAAATTTTAATCAAATTTAGACGAAAAAGATGTTTGCTATGAAACTATTTGTCCGAACGAAGAGAGGAATTTCTCCTGTTCCGGGGATAGTATAGCTTTGCCCAACATTTTTGAGCCCAAATATTGTTGTTCTGTTCCACAAGGGTAAAATCAAAATATTAAAAGAAAAAAAAAAAATATTATTTTTTTAAAAACAAAAAATAAATATACACTTTTTGTAAACATAATCAAACATAAATATAAAACTCTTTTGATAATATATTTTATAATTTATCCACATTTTCCAATGACATATTATAACACCTAGACTGGCAATGCATTTATTATATGCATTTGAAAGCATCGTTGAATGGAAATCAGCTGGATCCGCCATTTTGGTAACCCAGATAGTAATTATTCTCATCTTAAAAACTAATATTAAATTGATAACTTGCTTCCTTATTATCTCGATGATCAGGCAATTCTTTAATAAAGTTTGCATGAGATATAGAAATAAATTGGCATCTCGTTTAAAATTTTTAATAATGATACGTATAACCAAAATGGCGTCCTCAGCTCTTTTAATGGATGCATCGTCATAGGTATTATTATATGTCATTGACATTTTCTTAATTTTTTTTTTTTTATTTACCTTTTACCAATCACTTCATTTAACAAAATTTTAAATTAGATTTGATCATTTACAAATAATAGTTTGGAAAATTTATGTCGGACCCGGATTTTAAAAATTATCCATTTTTTCAACTAGGTCCCTAATTTAAAAAAAAATATATATTTCTTAATAAAAAAAAATAAGGCCTTGTCCTGAATCTATAAATTATATGATAATTTTACCAACATTTCCCAAATTTTTTGAAATTAACGACCTTCCCGTATTTTGAATATTTGGTCATTCTAAAAAAAAATTTCCGTGTATACTTTATTTTGGAAATGATTTTCGAAGGAAGGAAGGAGAAAAAGAAAGAAAGAAAGAAAGCGGTAATATGAGAAACAATTTAATCTTTATGATTTCTGTGCTAGTTAATTAATAAAGATTTGACAATTTTACAGCTCAGGGGTAAAATCGTTCTTTTTTAAAAAATAAAATAAAAATAATGTTTAATCAACAGTTGTCAATGTTTGAAAGAATTATGCGAACCAACAGGTAGTACCATTTGTAGAAATGGAGAGTGGCCAGAATTGATAAAGTTGAGCAATGGTATTCCTGGAACATGTTGTGATTTTTACGAATGCAGAAAAATTAGTTATATTAATATTTAAAATATATTATGTTTATTTTCTTTTTACCACCCCCCATCCCCCCTTATTTCCAAGATCTAATATGAGAGTAAGGGTGTGCGGAATTCATAAATATGATCAATTGATGGTTGCTAAGATTTTGCTAAAGATGGAAATGGAGGTGGTGTGGGGGGGGGGGGGGGTGAGGCACTATTAGCTATTATTTTCTATAAATTTTATTAGAGATCTTTAGGATACACTTATTACTGGCCTCTGAATATGTTACTTTAAAAAAAAAATTATTTTGGGTTTTTTTTATTTATTTATATTATATAAATGTTTTTTTTTAGTGTGCTGCATTTTTTAATTTTGAAAGATCTCGTGCCAATCAATATGTACATAGTACCCACCCTATGAATTTTAAATAATTTTGCCAAAACTATTTTGTCTATTTTTTTAAAATCTTTACGACCAATCGATCTGTAAAAAAAAATAAGGATAGATTCAATTAATGCCACATAATTGTATGATATTCGCCGGGTAGATACTTTATACAAATTGGAATCGATTTTGGCATAATCACGCCTTTCAAGATTTAAAAAAAAAATGATTTAGTTCTAAGGATTTAACTAAATCACTACAACATAATATCAAACTTAGAGAGAAATTTAAATCAGCTTATAAAATTGCTATATTTATTTTTGCTCTAAAACTAAAATTAGTTAAGTATGGCTTTTATTTTAAATTGCTTTGCGGTAAAATAAACTCTATGCATATTAAAATTTAATTTTGAAATACTTACCATTAAGCCAGCCGATAACTATTTAAGAAAAGGAAAGAAGTTTAATTAAATTAACCAAAGTTATCTCATAAGTTCCAACAATTTTAAACTATAAACGAATCTTAAAGGGTTAATCTCCAAATTAATTAGTCAGTGTTTGAGCTATGTTTTGTTTAATTAAATCATGGGGAATTTTTGATTTTAAAATAATTAATAAATCATTATTTAAATATAACTTATATTATATCTTAATTATGGGTAATTTAGCTACAATTTTACCAGCTCAAGATATAAAAATAGAAGAGAAGGATACCAAAACTAGTTGCAAATTCAACCAAAAAGTGTACTATGATGGCCAGGAATGGTTTTCCGGCGGGGAAAATTGCGTTAAATGTTATTGCAAAGCTGGGTTGACCTTTTGCAGAGTTCTAAAGTGTCGAAAAAGGAAAGGTGATTGTATTGATGTAGAGGATCATAACGAGATCCGAGGTGGAGGAAATTTAACTAGTTGTTGTTCCCATTGCAACAAAGGTAAAGATATTGGGTATATAAATTTCAAATATAAATATGATATATAGATACAAAAAATCAATTTTTTAGTTAATTAATTTTTTGAAGAAAAGTAAAAAGATGGGCTACCTACATAAATACTTTAAAAAAAAATTTTTTTAAATTATTTATATACAAACCAAACCCCCAGAAAGCCAAAATATTACTCCCAGTGTATCTTTAGAATATATCAAATTCACCAAAAATAACGGCATTATGTATGACAATATTTGCACTTTGGAGAATGGGCTGACTTACCGGATCAAGGAAACGTGGAAAGAGAATGATTGCGAGATATGTGTATGCATGGAAGGAGGGAAGGTAGAGTGCACTTCTCAGATGTGTTCCCATCCTAAACATTGTTCCGCAAATGATATAGTGTCAGTAGCGGGGATATGCTGCCCATTATGCCTAAATGATACCTTTAGTATGACGCGCTTCAGAAAAAAAATTTAACTTTAAAGCAGAGATTGAAAAAAATAATTTTCAAAGAACTTTTTTTGAGCAAAAATTTTTTTTTTTAACTAAAAAGAATGCCAAAATCTTATATAAGTAAACCTTTTATAATTTTCATGCATTGAAAATTTTTCAAGATAAAATCAAAATAAAAATGTTAAAAGATTTTTTGAAAATTTTTATCAAACTCTGCTTTAAGTAAACTAATGTTTTTCTGCTATCATAGTTTTAAAAATTTTATTTTAAAAAAAATTCGTTTCTTTATAGAGTGAAGGAAATATATATTTATGATTATTAATTTTTAAAACCCCCCAAAAAAGATATGTTCAATGTAACCATGTCAAAGGTAGCCCCTGTACCAGGGTTATTAACAAACGAAGAATTGGAAATACTGCTTTACCCTCATAACAACAGCGTAAACGATTCTTCAAAAATTTCCCCGCCAAATTTCCATTGTTTTTCTAGTACCTTAAACTTGTACTTTGCATCCGAAGAGACTTGGAAGGAGGATTGTAGGATCTGTTATTGCATGGACGGCGTAACAATGTGTACCTTAATTTCTTGTTCTATACCCAAATGTGAAAAACCGTATTTTGATAAAGGAGATTGCTGCCCGCGATGCAAAGGTATACTTTTGTTCATACATCCCAATATGTTTTTTAAAAGTGTTTACCATTTGCTGTTATTGTGCAATCAATAAAGGCGTTTATGTATTATTCGTTTAATTTATCAATCATTCTTTATAAACGCAGTAGCATATCTCTAAAATAAACAACATTTTGATGAATAATATTTTAAAAAAATTTTATACTACATTTCATTTTATAGTGATTTATCATTGAGCATCTTTAATATAATGCCCTCTTTTAAGTTTTAGGGCTTCAGGGTTTTATTAGTTTCCTTTTAATTAACCATGGTCTAGTCTAGATTCACTTAGCTTTAGGGCAATAGCGGATTACTCTAAATTTTACGAAAGTCTAACACATTTAACAAAATGTATAATGTCCTATATTTAGCACTTATGGTATGTTGATAGCCGTTCTTTTAGCAAAATAAGAATTTAATAATGGCATCAGAGTTTGAAAAATTGATTTTACCTTGAAAAAATTTTTTGAGTAAGAAAATTACAAAGACTTTGGATTTTTAGGTAATATTTGAACAAAAATCTCTCTCCTTTTAAAAAAAATGATTTTTGCTCAATAACTTTTTGAAGATTTTTTTTTCAAACTCTGCGTGGTATATGTTCACAATATTTTTAAATATACTTATCCAAAAACTGAATTGCACCTTAGAATTTCAACAACTATTGTGGAGGGAATTCAATAAGTTGTATCAGGATATAGCGTAAATAACCTTTAGTTTACCCCCCCCCCCCAAAAAAAAAAAAAATCTAATTTTTTAAAAAATACAAAATTATACATAGATTCAGATAAACCAATTCCATATTCAAACTACACTATATGCGACGGCGAAGAGAAATATATCGATAAAGCATTTATACCCCCTGACAGGATAAGGACAGAAAACAATTGGACTCTCCCTAAAACATTCCCTTATGAAAGGGAGTTGATCTCTAATTCCTACGATTCTTGGTGGGTAGATAAATGCATCCTTTGCACATGCAGCCAACGGTACAGGTTAGTCTTTTGCTCCGTTGATAATTGCCCTCCTGCTCCCTGCAATTTTCCTCAGAAAAATGACAAGAGTATAATATTATGCTTGAATAATAAATTAAAATAGTGCCTCATAGTGTTTGCAACGGTCCGGTCCAGTCCGGTCTTATTAGACTTTTCGGTCCTATGGGACGGTCCCGTCCAACAACACGGTCCCACGGTCCGGTCCGGTCCGACCGAAGACCGATTAAAGAATATAAAAGTTTACTATAAATTGCTTTATAGTTAATGTGTATGTACATGAACATATAAAATATGATTATTTAATGCCTAACACTATATAATATCTAATTCATCGTTTACTTTTTATATTCTTCCGTTTCATTAAATTCAATATTCATAGTTTACTTTTTATATTCTTCTTTGATTAGGCATTTGTGTATAATATAATAAAAATGAATTGATGATATAATTGAAATATTAATAGGGTAATTTAACTATTCATTTTTAATAAATTTAAATGCAGAATAAAACTTTTGTAGCTTTATAAAAAAATTTTTTTTAGGTGGGACCGGACCGCCTGGACCGGACCGGACCGACGGTCCCACGGTCCGGTCTCATTTGACTTAACGGTCTATCGGTCCGGTCCCATTTTAGAAAAAAAAGACCGGACCGGACCGTTGCAAACACTAGTGCCTCACTTAAAGAATCAAAAGATGATAATTTTTTTTAAAATACATCATCTTATGATCATGGCAATTGGGTAGGAAATATTACATTATTCAAAAAATGTATTAACCATCTACAGCTTTTTAATCCTAGTTTCAGAAAAATACAGATCTCCCCAGGAGTTACAACTAAAGAAGCTAATTATAATTTTAAAAAATTTAAAAATATTATTGATTAAATAGCCATCAACTTACTAAATTAAGAAACAAGAAAGGAGATGGTACAATATAACAATCAAAGATATGTATATAATAATAAAATAATATAATATGCTAAAAAAAATGTTTGAAAGGTTTATCGGAGAGATTGAAGGGTTCAAATATTGATGCCAACTCTGGTTGCTGTTCAAGTTGTTTAGGTAAAAATTAATTTAAATTATATATGGATTATGTATACTTTTTTTAAACAGTTTTATTTTTAACTAAATGTTAATGGTAGAAATTTTTTAAAATTTAAATTTTATACATCGTGTATTTTTTAGAAATTTTGAAATGACAAAGTTTTGCTAAGTCTACATGAGAACGGGGGTTGGGGTAAGTGCAGTTTGCATCCAATTTTTTGAGGGAATTAAGGGGTAGGAGATTCAATCAAGTCGTACTTTTAGGTTTTTATTCTCTGTAATGAAGAAAAGGTCCTCTCATTTGTGCTTGTAATAATTGGTACCATTGCCAAAATATACAGTAATTTTAATATATTTGGAAATCTTATAAAATATACTTTAAAATATGATGCTTCCACTGTATTTCTTGCTCAGCTATTATATTAAATCGAATATTGTATTCGCTTCAGTTGAAATATCTGTTTCAGCTGATTCAGATATTTCTTCAAGGGCATACAAAATAGCCTCTTCTAGATCCAAAAAATACTGTAACAGCTTGATATCGAAGGATGCATCTTGTCATGCAGGCTTTTTGCAGTTTCTTTTTTCCTGCAGCACAAGAAGTCTCAGAAATAATTATATTCAGCAACTTCCTTGGATATCTGAAAATTTCATACACTCTAGAAAATTTATCAAAGTTATTATAATAGAGAAAAAAAAATTTTTTGGTTTGATAAAAATTTCTTATATCTATCAATGTTTAATGTTTAAAAAAAAAATGTAAGAAAATAAATTTTAAAAAATATGCAAGAAATAAATATTTAAATGAATTTTTTGCTAATATTTTGATTGAAATAGAATACTTTGCAATTCACAATCCATGAAGCCATTTTATATTTTTTTCAAAAATTCTTGCTACCGGTGTGGGACTCCGCCCTCTCTCCCACCCCCGTTGACTACGAGCCTGGGTTAAACAATATACTATAATAGTGCATTCATTGTAAACTAGGAGATTTTTATTTGAATTAATGATCTAAAAAATAACCCATTTATATTCACAATATTTTGCTAGTTGGTAGTAGAGCTAAAATAATTTAAGTTATTCTTTTTAAAATTTATGGCGAAAATTTTTTAGGGGGGTTTGTCATAGGTTTTTGAGTAGCATCCTGTAAAAATCCTGTCATGTCGACGCCGCATAACCGTATTCATCCTTATAGATAGTATACATATCCATTGAATTTGAAACAATTTCACCATGAAATTTTACATTTTTTTAAAAAAAACAAATTAAGAATAGGTCAAAATTTAAGGTGTTAATATATGGTGTGATAAATAATGACCCAATTTTACTAAAATGAAATAAGACCCTACTTGGTTTTAAAAAAATATATATATTAATAGAATCACGTGGTCGTTTCCGATATTTGACATATCATCTCCTGTAGCACGAATCTACTAAGTTGGTTTCAGAAAAAAATCCTGTCCTCGCTGGATTCGAACCCTGTATTGTTGGATTAGTGAAACAAACACTCTCCGACTAGGCATGAGTTACTACTCAAAAACAATAAAAAAAATTTGTATACAAGGATAAAATTGCGACGCAGTTTAATATTTTAATACCTGATTTTATTCCTAAGATTTCTATTATTGACAAGCAGCAGAGCGTCGCTAAATCCACCAAACGGGATTGGGGAAATTTTTTGAGGAGCCCTTCATACGCTTGTGGGAAACCCGTACGTACTTGTAAGCAAAGCAGTCTTAGGCCTGTCATTTAAACCAGGGTTGGCAAGTCGGTCAATTGACCAGTCAAATTCAGTCAATTGACCGGTCAATTGACCGGAGGAGTATTTGACCTGTCAAATACGGTCAAATACTCTAAAAAATTTAAAGGAAAAATAAATTAAAAATATGTTTAAAAAAGGGAAATACATGTGATCACAATGTTTGCTTATTTTTCGGGTCCACAATATCAAGAGGAGAACTTACTAGTAGTGTAATTAATGAAGTGTGTGATATAATTCAAGAATTAGCTATTTTACAAGGTAGTGATGACCAAAATATTTTAAGTGATATAATTAATTTCAGAAGCTAAAACAGCATGTTTAATATAGCAAAATATGTGGAAAGTAGTAATTTCCAGAAACAATCAATTCCGACCTCAAGTTAATAGATTAAACTTTGTCTACCCTGCCCATTAAGAGACTAACAATTCCTAGTTCTACTTCTTCTTTAGAAAGAAATAGGTCGATTTGGGTTAATATTCTTATGAAAATAGAAATCGATTTAAGATCTAAGATAACAGGAAAATTGTTTAAAAAATATTAAAGAAAATGATAATATTGAATATGAATCAGAACAAGACTCTGATACAGATAGCTACACGTTAGTTATTGAATGAATTTAAAAAATTAATATTATAGATTCATTTTACTATTATATTCAAAATAAAGTTAATATTAACTTTAAAAAAATATATTTGAATTTGACCACATTTAACCGTATTTGACCATATTTGGCCGGTCAAATATCGGTCAATTGACCGAAACGTATTTGACCGGTCAAATGCACAACCCTGATTTAAACGTCTATAGACTGAAAAAGTAGCTTGGCAAAGGATATGCCTATACTCAAGAATTGCCCCTTGATTAATTATTTTAAGGGTGGAAGGTGGTTGATTAAGTTTAGAAATTAGTATTTATCATTTTAATTTTTAAAAAAAAAACAGATAAAAAAGAAATTAATAACATTCAACGATATACATCATTACTTCAAAAGTATTAAAATTCTTTAAAATTTACGTGGTAGTAGGTACTTTATATGTGATACGACTCTGGCAACATCTGGTTTTTTATGATTATAAAACTTTCGCTATAAATATCCCTGATTTGCATAACGCCTGCGATCAAGAGGTCCGCACGGGTTGTTTAAAACCCGTCCCGAACCTCGGGTCGGGTTTCGAACATTGACTTATTTCCGGCTGGGGTTGAGATGTAAGGGGAGTCTGATCAGAAACCCGTTGACACATAAATATTAAAAACACAAATATCCTCAATAATCATATTGTTTCACAAAAAGTGTCGGGTAAAAAATTTAAATTTTGGGCTCAGTCCGCGAAAAGATTGTTTTGTAGGGCTCTACCTCCGACACATAGATATCTTTCCTTAATATCAAAAAAAAATTATCAGAGGAAATCCCATTCAGCCCCTCGAAAAAAATCGATACGTCTAGAAAAAACTCCTGCAAAAGTCGAAATGTCACGTACGGTCACGAATCAGTGTGGAAGCAAGATGCTTGTACCGGATGTAAATGCTCTTTTGGCAAAATCAAATGTTATTCTCAAATATGCGCCAAACAGTATTGTCCGACGCCATATCTGCAAAAAGGGAAATGTTGTCCCGTATGCTTAGGTTTATAATTTAGAATTGCCCGTATATAAATGATATTTTTTTTTTCACTCAGGTAACGTTGGGACAATTTCGAATGTTTATCATAATCCCACCGATCCTTATAGAGTAAATCGCTATAACAAAACTCCTCTCAATTTAAACTTCTTCTCGCGGACGGCGAATAAATTATTCGAAAGTTTATTCCTACGGAACAAAGATGCACCTACCATCAGGCTATACTTTCTATTGGCTTTCCTCCTGACACTAATTTTATGCGTCATATTATTCGCTCTCGTAATTTACTTGTCGTTCTACATAATACACGTTCTAGGTGGCAAGAAGAAACATTCCAATACGTTACAACCTTATTTCATAGCCAACGTCTATGAGGAAGAGGATGAGTACCTCAAAAAAAAGTCGCCCTCCGATGGCCATAACCGCCAATCATTGCTTAATAATCTATTTTGGCCTTCTCATTTCTTTAAAAACTCGTTTTGCTTCAAGAAACCTCCGGAATATCGAGACGGTGAACTTAATAAGAGTTGTTCTATCCTCAAGGAAAATTTAAATCGAGAATTGATCGCCACGATAAAATCCAATAATAAAGCTAATAATCACATATCTCTTCCCATGGCGAATGAATGCGAATCCAAACCTTTCCTGGATGAAAAATCGGTAACCTTGCCAGAACCGGAATCACCTATTGATAAACTGCAATTAATGAATGAAGATATGGATGCTAATGAGCTACGAGATGATCACGAGGAAATAGGTAATAAAAAAAATGATGATTCTACTCTGAGCGACAATATCATGCAGTTCAATAAATCTTATTATTATTTAACTACTTTGCCTAAGTCTTCCGAAGAATACCCATTTGAAAAAATGATTTAACAAAAAAAACATTTTTTTTACCTAAGGAACTAATATTTATTGTAAAAATGCTATCATTAAAATAAAACTTAAAAAAAACATCAATTGTTTTATTTAATATTTTTTTTTGCTCAAATTTATTTATTCGTAAATAATATATATATATATCTATTTTATATTAATAATATATATAATACTTTATATCATTTAAGTTATAAAATTAAATTAATATATAATTCCAAAAAAAACATAAAATAAGTATTGGAAATTTTTTTTTATCATACATATTTTTATAAATAGTTCAATTATAATCGCGTTATTTTTTTATTTTTTAATAAACTTAAAAAATTAACAATATTACATTTGGTATTGGGATATTTAAATTCATGGGAATTTGTGAGATTTTAAATCTGATTTAACCAGAAATGTTTTTAAGCATGTTTGGAGTACCTTTGTCAATTTCATTCAATGCCGTGTACCTTATAACTCCTAACTTATAGTGTTTTTTATATATGGATTTTTCATATAAATTAAAAAAATTACAAAGAGTTTATGGCAAAGATTGTATTGAAATTAATAGAGTTAGTGTTATCATCGATTTGAGCCTATCGATAAAAGCCGCTAACTCATAATTTTATCGGGAAATATATTACGCGAGCCTGAAGAATTTGGTTATAGATGTCACATTCAAATCAATCCGTTTAACATTCTACATAAAATATATTTTACACATGCTTGGAATACATTTCCGGTAACATCGGATCTAAAAAATTATAATATCCCTTTATAAATTACTTAAAATAGAAAGATCTCTAATCCTCGTGGATTTAATCAATGAATGTGGAATTAAATACCATCGATACTTTGCAGTGATACTTTAGTTGACATTTTAATGGGTTGAGGGGTCAAAATTAGATATATACATTTTTGAGGGGATGGGATTTCTTCATCCCCTTCAGCCTCATTTTACCAGACCTTCAGCCAGCTTATGTCAAATTATTATTGCAAGTTTTTGTTTGAAATATTTATTCTATTACCGTTATTTTCCATCTGTTTCTTCTCACTTTTTTTTTAAGATTCATTAGCTTTTTGGCCCTAACTTTTGGAAGCACAGATACTAATCTAAAAGATCCATTCTATTTAGGGTTTTTGTATCCACGGATGCTTTAATCAGTTTGACAACTGGTATAAAAAAAACCATTTTTTGTGAAACTTTCCGATTAAGAATAGCTTGATGTTGTTAACTTTACTTTTTAGAAGTAACTAATTTCATTAAAAAGTTACTATTTACATAGCATTCAAATTTGATAGGCATATTATAAAAACATTAATTTTTTTCAAAAGATTATGTTAATTATTCTTTCAAGAATTGTTGATTTTATTTTGTGATTTATCAAATGGTTGAAGTTAAAAATTATGCAGTTTTGATTCTTTGGTTGAGGCATTTTTAATTTAATGGTTAATGACTTGATTAGTAATTTTAAAAAAAATGTAATATAGGTTCATACACAAATCAATATTAAATTGATTCCCAATGTGAAAGGAGGATGAGCAATAATTAAGGAAAATAAAATTGCTTGAAAGAATACGATCTATTTTTAATATAACCAAACAATGTATATTATTGTTCTCCTAGATCACAAAATCAAATATATAAGCAAGGAATAGCTACACAAATAATGAAAATGGTTATTTTGTTTGTCATGGCTAATGAGACTATCAATGTAAGTTCCTTATGAGCAATGTAGTGTAGATGTTAGATATATCGTTAAAACAAAATACACTAAAAGAATCTTTTATATCGTTTGAAAAAGTTAATCCACTGGAGGCAGAGTAATTGGCAAAATTAATGATAAACACCTTTAAATAACAATTCTATAAATGCTATTTGTGCTGCTTAGGTCTATCATGGGAGAAGTTTTATGAGAGGGTATCCTTCAAGAGTATACATGATTGAGACATTTAAAAATTGCTATAATTTTACATGTCCTTAAAAAATAATCTAGATGTAGATTTTTTATAAATAATATAACATAGATACAGATACGAGTATCTTAAGAAATTGTATTGTAAAAATTCGACTAGACTAATTAACAACATTATTAAGAGAATTATCAAAAAATATAAGATATATACTTATATCTAAATTTGTTAAAGTAACTAGTTATATTTGAAAAGTTGTAACTAGTAACTGGAAATGTAACACCTAAAGTAACTAGTTACTTTTAAAATATTAATATATTATTAAAATTAATTATGATTAATCTTAATTTAAAATTTTGATTCTATGAGATTAATCAGACAAAATACACATTCGTAGGCGTAATCTGGATTTTGTTAGGGGGGAAAGACTTTTACCTCATAAATAATATTGGTCAATTATTGCCAGCCTTTCGCTTTTTTTCCTAAAAATTTTAAATATATAGTCGTTATTTAAAAAAATTATTAATTTTTACTTACTTTTTTTTCAAATTATTGCTTATAGGGTAATGTAATGAATATATTTTGGGCGGGGGTTGGGGGTATAGAGGAGGGAATATTTTATTTTCTTAAAACTATATTTACAAAAACTGACAAATTTCCGACGGGAGATTTTCCCCTTGCCACCCCCCCCCCTTCCCACCCCCCCCCCCCCTACATCTATTTACAGGATTTGATATGAATTCTGACACCGACTCATCATTTAATGAGGATGACATTAAAACAGTGAAATTTAATTTGCTCCATTCCTTTCTAAGAGTATTATTAAACAAAATACTTGAATGTTAAAATATCTTGGCCCAAGCTTCAAAAAATATTTTGTGTTTGCATAGAGAAGACTGGCAGTAGAAGCAATATTAGTGTTAAGTTTCTTCCATGTCTTCCAAAAAGGTATAATTCAGCATCTAAGTCATCCACAGCCAATCAATTTGAACACATCTTTGTAAGATTATTTTCATGCAACTTGTCTTAAATAATTGCACTAAATTTTAGTTAGACATACATTAAACAAGATTTGTGTTTAGCTAAATATTATATAAATTAATTAATTATAAACCTTAATAATTAAAATTACTTTGACCGCCTTCCAAGGTACTGCTGTTGTTTTTGTCATAGATTAAACTTAGTAGCAATGCAAGATGCCAACAAAATCTTTTTATAGGATTATCGTTATAATAAAGCATATAACATTACCATATCATAAAGCTAACATAGTGGAATTTACAAAAAAATCTAAGACCAGCATCTGAACTTTATTGTATTAAATGTTTTCCTCACACCAATTTCTCACGTAGAACGTTTGTTCAGTCTAGAGAAGCTTATTTTTATACAGAACGGAGCGCGTAAAATAGTTTATTGTTAAATGCAAATATAAATTTATTAAGCCGGAATTTTGAATAAAAAATAATCATTGCAAATACATATGATATCCTTTTATTTTAGTAACTTTTAAAAACACTACTTGTATCTTTTCCAAAATAATGGTATCTTATGTTCAAGATATTTTTTTTTGAAAAGGTTTAACTATTCCTTCTGAACAATAATCCATAAAGTCGATGAAGAGGTCAATAAATAATTTAGTTACCAAAAATAACATCGCCACCCAACTGCTATATAATGGCATTGTGTCTAGAAATAAGAGAGGAAAGAAAGATGCATAAGCCAAACGATGAGGGTTGTTAAAAAGCCAATTTGGTTTGATTTTTAAAAACGACCCGATTAAAATTTTAGCCAACTCGAGATTTGGCAAGAGCTCCAAACCTTTTCTACCATAATGAACAAAACTCCAGGCTTACATCCTAAATGGAAATAAATATCATAACTAGCTGAAAAATTAAATTCCAATAAATGACATCAAATTCTATGGTATATTTTACAGGATGGACTATCCCGGAAATTGGGAAATTATCTAAAACACTAACAAACACGTGATGTCTTGACAAATATGATTCTTATATCACTTTTATTTGACATTATTTTATTATAAGATTTTTTTAAAAAATAACTACAATCAACGAATCGAAATTACATCAGTTACTATTTTTATACAAACTTAATCTAAAGCACAACCGAAAATAGACGATGAAATATAAAATATCTTTAAATTACCAAATATAAATATGGACAAGTACATGAAATTACATATAATATACAACAATTTATATTTTAGTTTGCTTGATAAACATTATAGAAGGTTATTAATGAATTATCTCCATCTCCAGAAAACAAAATTGAGAGTTTTTTTATCTGAGGAATTATCTTCCATTTATCCAATAATATATGTTACGAACATCAATGATCGATAATCAAACTATTTGAATGTAACTATCAACATATAATGTATCCTATAATATTTCATTAAAAATCAACATTGTTAAAGTGTGACATCTATATTACGTATAAGAATTAATTCGTTTGCAAAATAGGCACAACTGAAAACATCATTTTTTATTTCTAGATCATAGTAATTTAGCAAAATATAGCATAAATTTTTATTACTCAATAAAAATAATTTTTTTTCAAAATGAATAGAAAAAATTCTCAAGAAGATATCTTCGGTGAAAAATATCTTAATTCAATCCCTAATAATGACAACCTTGAAGATTGTACATTATCTGATAGCATAGATAGAACCTTATTAACAGAGGAGTATATTTATATGAGAGACTTTCCAAATTGTTCCACTTTTTCTTCTAACAATAATTTCGGAATTAATGCTGAAAGTTCTCTAGAAGAGAAAGCGATTATAGAAGAGCTATTGAGTTTAGGTACTGAATTTACTAAAAACGATATTTACATGGCACAAGAAGATTCCAACGACAAAGACAACATCGACTGCCAAGATTTGATGGACTTAGTATTAACGTCGAAGTCGGAAATGTATCGACCTTCAACACAGAGTAATGATGAATATATTCCATTGCCAACATCGCAATGGGAATATGGCAAAAACGCTGCTGTTACTAAATCTCAGAAAGAGTTTTCTGGAACAAAAAATGGATCTACTAAATGTTCTACTAGCAAGGTTAAAGTTAGACCCAAAATTGTTAAGACGAAAATGGGTGAAACATCCTCGAAAATAAGAACCTATCCTTATAATTTAAGGCCTAGAAAGAAAATCGATTATATTAAATCTGAAAGAATCAGAGAACGAGGAGACACAAGGAAAAAATGTTGAAGGCTAAAATGAATGTTTGATTTTAAATTTATTTATTGATTGAATTGAAAATTATGTTTATGCAATCAAAATTACATTTATATGATATGTTCATAAAATTTAAATGCTTTTTTATAGCTTATAATTAAATAGATATAGATATTGTATATATATATATAGTAGTTAAAATTTTGAATCTATATTTCAAATAAAAACGAGAGTTATTTACGATTTATCCAGAGGGCAAAAAGTGACTTGCATGATATGAATCTAGTAAAAGTCAACAGCTACTCCCTCCTAATAAAGTTCCTCCACGGGGGATGGGAGTAAGTGTGGGATTGTTATTAAAATTGAAGGGGGAGTGGTTAGCTGATGATATCGTTATTCGAATAAAATTTAAAGGGTTAGGTGGCTTGGTAGTTTTGATTTTGGATCTCCCTTTTTTACTAATTATGTATGATTTTTTTTTTGATAATTTTTATAGAGAGTAAGAAGAGTAGGGAGATAGTCGGGTATAATATTGACATTGGCTAAGATAGTGTATTCCTAGCTACTTTATATTAAAAGATGGTTAAAGCAGAGAAGATACAGAAGAAGCAATTAGGAATGTTGTGTGTGAGTCGTACATTGTTAGTTACATTTTAATAAAAGTAACAAGAGTTAGTAACTTTTTGCATAATATTTCCGAGATAATCTGTAAAGATATATCTATAAGGAGAATGAATAAATTTTACGGGTAGCTGGCAGGCATCGTTAAATACCAATAAATAAAAGTATCTAAAAAATGGCTACTGATACATATCAATCAAATTTAATTGATAACCTATAAACAGTTATGATTCAAGGTTCAAATCGGTTTACAAACCTCTCTAAAAGGTTCAATTTATGCAAAAAGTTGTTACTGTTAAATTTCGGTAAATAATAACGGTTAATACCGGTTTGATATTTTCCTTCGGGTTGTTTTGGATTAGTGGAGTCTGAAAGAAAAAAAATATTTCGATTAAAAGTGTTATTATATTTTAAATTAATTCCTTTCCATTAACATAAATAGATATAAAGTTGACATTATTTAATAATAATAATGAAATAAATAAATAAATAATAAAATTTTGAAAGTTTCATTAACCTTTTTTTTATATGTATTATAATATAATCTCATCAGATATTTTTCATATTATTATAGTATTCTCTCTATTATTATTATTATTATTATTATTTAACGCAAGCTTCAAAATTCTCTTTTTTTTCCAATTGTAAAATGATGTGTGTGAAAAAAATCGTTGAGCTAATTTGAACAGATAAGACCTCTCTTAAATAAATACAATTCCATTATTAAATTCTGCCCTTTTTTTCCTTCTTTCTTATAATAACGTCTTTATAAATTTGTAGAATAATAATAGTTGTCAGAAATCATTCATAATAATTGGTAGAAACTAGAAAGACAGTTATATGAATTTATTTTTGATATTATGGTTTATTTAAATAAATTTTTTAAAAAAATGGGAAATATTTTATATATTATATTTTTTTGTTATTAATTCAAAACTATTAAGCTGATATACTCTATAATCCAACTCAGAATTCTCAGTATTGCTAATTGAATAAGGTCACCTACCTTTTATAATATTTTTTAAAATGTATGTAGTAAAATAATATATATTTCGTATTTTATTTTAAAATATTATCACACCACCAATATCACTGTGATATATTAAAATTGTTTGTCTTTGTTTTCATTGCATTTACAAGCTCTTATCAAATCCACATTTAAAAGCGGCTTAATAATAAGCTAATTAATGACGTCAGTTAAGATATTAATCCAAACCAGAGCTAAGGCATATCTAGGATTTTTATAAGGGAAGGATTTTGGGTAGATTTTGCCCCCAAAGTACATCCGATTACATTTTAGAATAAAAATAATTATTTTCATTTTACATTTTTTTGCCGAAAAACAAATTTTTTTAAAATTAAATCACATATTCTATCCATTTTTAGGAAAAAAGGCTGTGGGGGTATGGGATTGGGAATTTCCCGATCCCCTTCCCCATTAAGAAAATTTTAATTCCTACACCTAAAGATAAATTTAGGTACATTTGCGATCCGTTATGGTAAAAAAAAACAACTAATTTAAATTTAAAATATTGTTGTAAAATAAAATAAAAAATTTTTTTTTAAAAAAAAAGGAAAAATACGGTATAATACCTAATTTTTATCTTTATATTAATGAAAAATAAAATTAAGGATAAGGAAGTTTATATAGGATACCTGGAAGCTTTTAATTTTAAAAAGGAAAGAGATATATAATATATAAAAAAATTATTTTTTTAGAATCATCCTTTCTTGCAATGTATTTGTATAATAATAATAATATTATTACATCAAAAAAAAAAATTTCTTATCAAATGAAGATTGGTGAATAAATTATATTTATATTATAATATTTTTTAAAAAAAAGTATTTAAAGTATATCCTTATAATTTAAATTTTTTTCTAATTATATTTCTATTTAGTGAAAGAAAGAAAGAAAGAAAGAAAGAAAATATAATTTTTATATATAGATAGCCAATATTTTGTAAAAATTTTAAATGTTGCGAGTTTCTACATAGAACTTATCAGAACTTAATTAATTGGGGTAGTTTGAAAGAAAAATTTTTTTAAAAAAGTTTATATGAAGAAGAGAGATTTTTCATTTAAATTTTACCTAAAAATGACATCTTTAGTAATTTACATGCATAAAAAAATTAAATCAGAAATTTTTATTCTTAGAAACCCTGATCGAAATAAAGTGAATATTAGTATATGATATTTTTCGACTTGGTAGATAACGGCTTAATTTGCCTCAGATTCGAATTCATAGAAATTTATTTCATTGAAACAATATGAATATTACTTTTAGAGGGTTAAACTTTTTTTTTTATTGTTGAACTATGTAATAATATTATCGTAAATGGTATATTTATATAATAATTAAATATTTATTTTTTGTCTTAAAATTAATATTAAATTAAATACAACATTATTATAATAAATATAATATAAAAGACATTTTTATCACGCGAGACAGTCATCTAGAATTATTTTTCTAAGAAAAGTTTTGGCATAACTTGATATATAAATATATAGTAAATATTATATAATAATAAGAAAAGCATTTTGAACCTAATAATATATATGTTCTTAAAATACTATATGAATGTCGTTAAAAGATTCTTAAGGGGGCCATTTTATCTATAAAAAAACACAATCTGTTTATTAGTTCCTTATTGATTTTCTACTAAAAAAAACAAATTACTGGAATGGTGGATTATCTAATAAAAGCTCGCTCCCCTTTTTCCATTCGCTATTCTATTCTATAAAATGCGGAATATGAAAATATAAAATTAAAAGTTATTATTTTTTTATATTATATATATTATATTTTTTATATATATTACAAATTAGAAATCAAAAATTACAAAAATATCAAAAATTGGATTTGTAATAGTTTAATAATACACGTTAATTTAGATAATAAAATATATATACTTTGGTTTTTATTTAAAAAAATACTATTAAAAGGTGCTGATGCTTATATTATTATGTAATATGTATATAATATATTTACTATAATGATGGGTTTCATGAATAAAATGCATAAAATATAGAAACAAAGTCGGAAATGGAATGGGATCAAAAATTTAGGAAATGGAAGCAAAAATTCGGAAAAAAATTAAACTAAATGCGACAAGGGGACCAAAATGTTTTAAAAAAATGTTACAATCATACAAATACTTTTGTTACGTGATTGGATTGGGTTTAGAAAAAATATTATATATTTAAAAAATATATATATGCTATTATAATATTAGATTTGATCTACGATTTATCTATAAAAAATATAAGTTGTAATTGAATAAAAAAAATAAATTTTCAAAAGGTAAAATATTTTTTTAAAAAATTGTTTATTTTTAAGTGAGTTTTTTTTTTGCTTTAAAATGAATATTTTTTTCTTTTTGAAATAGGAAAAATTAATTTTTTGTTAAAAATTATATAATCCAACTATCTTTGCATTGATTAAAAAAAGTTGTTATAAACTTTGAGTATGAGGTATCTAATAAAAAGTAATGGTAATTAAAAAAAAATAATATAACTAGTTTGAGATTCCATTAAGATCATAAATTTGTCCTTGAAGAAGAGAAGAGGGGAGAGATTATTAAAATCAAAATTATAATACAAACTATTCGGCTTATACAATTTTATTTCTATTTATAAAATCAAAATAGCTATATATTTATATATAAATTGTTGCATTTTCTTAACGATAAAAAAAAATTTTTTTTTTGGTATATGGGACATTTCTTTAAACTTTAAACAGCTGGCAGGTTAAGTTTTTTAAAAATAAATTATGTAACCTCTTGTCCATTAGTCCTTCTTGAAGGCAAGTATAAATTTATGTAAATTCTTCATCGTTATTCCCATTTTTTGGTATATCGAACATTTCAGCAAAAAGTGGAGGCAAATTAAGTCTCTGCCATCTTTGCCTATACCAGACCACAGCATCATCGTGTTTTTTACCCAAAGTCTGTAGTTCAGGGATAGTGGCTACCATGTTAGCGAACAGGTGAGATTCGTTGCTATGGTTTCGACTCATTTGGAATTTCAAGGCATCCACCAGCTTCTCTCTGATTTCCGAAATCCTCTTAAAATCGTAACATCTACTATTACCATTAACATTGGAAGGAATGTTCTTTATAACGTTATTGGTGATAGATTGGGGTTCTCTCTTACCACTAGCCGAGGCAAGTAAGACAACGGCGGTGAATAAGCCTATCTCGGTGTCGTTACAATTGACGGCATTGAATGTAACGGAAAAACTGTGGATGGCGTTTATGAGGTCTTGATTATAAATTAGTGCCAATTGGTCTCTGTTGATGTATGTTCCGTCACCAAGATTAAGTGAGCAATCGACCGGGTTGAGCATACGGGCCATTCTCACCAACCAGATCTGAAAAAAACCTGCTTTGACCAAAACTAGCTGATCATCCTGCAACAAGTCTCCAAAACCGGGTATCCTCTTGGCAAACTCTACTACCCTCTGAATAGCAGGAGTTATAATGAGGGAGGCGTATTGTTCACACAGGTATATCTTCCAGGCTTCTGTTTGAGTGTTTATTCCGTTAATATTGTCGGATAAGGATGCCGATGAATTAATGGGTAAAAGTGGGTGTTGGGAGTTGTTAAGGATAAAAGAAGGGATAGAGGCCAAAGCCAGTTCAACGGGTTTTCTCCCGTTCCTGCCCGTAATACCGTCTGATCCGGGATTTTGATTCGGGGAGGAAAATATCTTTTCGTCAGTATAAGGACACGTGCAATGATGGGCTTGGGATATTGTTAATATGATGTCATATATCGCTATGTCCTTTATGCTAGCCGCAGCAGCTGCTGAATTATGACCCGATACTTCTCCGTTGGACTTTTCGCTTCCAGATTTATCATTATTAATGTTATTATTAATTCTGTCGGAACTGTTATTGTTATTAATATGATTATTACTCGATTGCTGTAACGCGGGAGAACTCATTCGGTAATCTATCATGTGTTGATTAGGGTTGTTGTTATTGATAGGTAGCTTGGTGCCTACAATGGGCGAAGTAGACACTCCATTACTATTTTCTTGGTAGTTCATCAAATTATCGTGAATATTACTGTTCAACTGAGCGTTATGTTCAAAATTAGAGTCCTGAATCTGCTGTTGGGCCAAATGCTGCTGATTCATTCGTCTTATCTCCTCTTCGGCCTTTTCGCGGCATCGCTTAGGAACGCGCCCATACCTCACTGCGTCGCGTGACATACCGACTGCTAGACATTTCTTGAATCTACAGTATTGGCACCGATTTCTATTCAACCGCACTATCGAGCACTTGCCTTCCCTCAAACATCTGTACTCTATCTGTTTCTGTATACTGCGTCTGAAAAATCCTTTGCAACCTTCGCATGAGGTCACACCATAATGATATCCTGATGCCCTATCACCGCAAACCTTGCATGGAACAAAGGGCTGCTTAGGACTATTCGAATCAGCTGCCGTCACCAAATGTCGTTCCAACATAGTAGAAGGGGTAACTAAAGGGCCATCCAATAAGTCATGTTCTTGATTGATATTGTTGTTGTGCTGTTGCAGAAAATTAGGTTGATTCAGAGAGTTAGAGGATTCGTAAGGGGATTTGCCGTACATGTACAAATGATGCATAGTGGAAGGTACGTTATTCATTGTCAGGCCACCATTATTGTCCATTTTATTGATAGCGGGTGAATTGTTGGAAGAATTAGTCATATGGGAGTGGGTCGATGTAAAGGAAAAGTATGTCATGCCCGTGAAATTCTTATTATCCGAAACAGAATTAATTTTTTGAGATTTGGCGCTGGTAGCCGAATTATTATGAGCTTTTCCTTTTTCGTTGCCTTTGGTGATATCATGATTTTTGGTCGTTTTTTTGTCGAAAACGTTGGTATCTGGAAACAAATAATTGGGCTGAGAGGAGTTTAAAAGTTTGGAAGAAATTTTATTATCGCCATTATTTTCGCGCAGTGGATTATTGTCGAATTTAGGCTGAGATTCTCTGTTAGAGATTTCGGAATTATTTAGAGAATTTTTGCCCCCTTCTATTTTGGATTCCTCATTCAGATTAGCATCGTTAAAACCACTAATCAAATTGTTACTCATATCACCATTTATGGTCGTAAAATAGTTGACGCCGTTGGAAGTCAGAGGATTAACATCGTTGAAAAAAGGCTCTAATATGTGACTATCGATAGAATCCTTAATGGTGCTGTGATCATCGTTTCGATTATCGAGTTTATTGTTATTGATATTGTTATTATTAAAAGGTACGAACGCTTGGTCGTTGTTCATGAGACTAAAATTATTTTGTTGATGATCGGGAAATCTTTCGTAGTTTAAAAATGTCTCATTGTAATCGAAAGTCGAGGGTAACATGTTAGAATCCGACACAATAATGGGGTAGGAAGGTTGCCTAGAAGGATTAATCGATTTGAGTTTCTTATTAAGCTTGTTATTTAGGGAGGATATAGCTGCCGAGTTATCGATGTCAGACTTGTGAGATAGATTGTAACCGTTTATAAGGCTATTGTGGTGTTGTTCTTGTTCGAGTCCATTCCCATTAACGTTGTCGCCAGAAGACTTGATCATGCCAGCGAAGGAATCCATATAATTTTGAAAAACGTTTCCTCCTCTTATACCATTATTGTTAATATTTAGTCCATTAAGATTTGTATGGTTGTTGCCACTATGTCCATTAGGTTCGGCCAAGATTACTTCGGAATCTTGGAAGGTATCTTGGGCATTCCCGCACAGAACATTTATATTGAGAATCATATCGTCTCCCTCTGCCATTCCCACTTGGTTCATATCGGCTAAACTGTTCATATCCTTCATATCTTGGTAATCCATTAGGCTTGCTTCCCTACTTTCGATTAAACCGTAGGTATTATTATTGATATTAATATGATTTTGCCGGCTCTCACCGTAATTGCAATTGGTGACCTTGGTTATGATATGGTTATTGCTGATTATAATTTTATCATTGCACTCGCCTCCTATCATAAGATTTTTGCATTGATCTCCCATCGGAAGGGGGGCAATTTAATTGATATAGCTAGTAAAAGGGCTAGACAATCTGAATCCCGATTAGATTTTTAATGAATGCCCATTGCGAAAGCCATCTTAATATGAAGGCGGAAAGTCGTTCCTATAAATGCAACGTGTTTTTTGAAAATAATTATATATTATGCGCATAATTCGTAAATTTAAGCTTTCGTATAACGTTTAAAGAAAAATAACTATATTTTCAAATAAGAGTCATAGTTCAAATATTTCATTTTACACACACACACACTGCGCGTTCATATCTCAAAATAAGCTTAATATATAAAAAATAAAATGTGATATTCAATTAGATAATATATGATGACAATTATAAAAGTATATATATATCATTTTTTTTTCATTTTTTGAAATGCTACCTTTAATTCCTCCCCTCACTTTTTTGTTTCAAAAAAAAAATTTAATATTATATAAATATTGAATTATTTTTTTCTTATCTTTCAAAGGCATTTATAAATTACAATAATATAACTATATACCATATAAAAGTATTATTATTTGGTACTAAATTTATATAAATTTCTATCCAAATTTTGTGGGATGCTTTAACTTTATATAAATGTGATAGGTAGTCTTTGTTAAACGGCTAACTCAATATTTTATTAGGCAAAATATTATGCAAGCCTTGTGACTTTGCTCATAGGTGGCACAAAGGGTTGAACATCTGTTAACGAAATCTCGAGGCTTAGATAAATATAGTTCTGGCTATAATATTGAGTTAGCTGTTAGTGATAAGTATAATCAAAATAAAAGGGGGGTTTTAAACCTGAAATCATCACGTGACTATTCCAAATCCTCTGCATTTAAAAAAAATCCTATTTTTGCCTTCAAATAATTTTTTGCCATTAAACTTTTGAATTATATTACTCTTAAATTTATTATATTGTAAGCAAATTTGGCTGAAATTTATATGGTTGGCTCACAACACTTTGCCCTGCATTGAGAGTTAACACGAATTCGCGGCGGAATATATAAAAACTGAATTGTAAAATGATTATATTTATACATCATATTTTGTATTACTTAGCCGCGATTCGCGTTAACTGGCGAAGAACGTAGAGGGTCACACACGCTGGAATGAATTTCCGGGTAAAATAATTTTTATTCCAAAAATAGGATTTATACCGAGAAATTACGAATCTTTCCGCCAGTTACCACATAATTATTAATTTTAGATTCCATTTTCGAATATTCTCTTTTGAAGTTTATTTATTTTTTAAATCAATTTCCCTTTCCACCCCTCTGTATTCGTTATAGGTCGCATTGTTAAATCTATTGTGATTTTGAATAATATTTTCTAAATCATAAAATATATAATTTTGTTTTTCTTTCAAACATGAGCTGGGTTTTAGCGCAGTTAAACTTTTCGATTTGAATCCGAATTTTTTAAAAAACGTCTAACTCAATATTTTAGCCATAAAAATATTGCCTGAACAACGAGAGTACGCTTATAGATGTCCAAACCTTTGTGCCATCTATGACTAAAATCTTTAGGCTTGCGTAATTTTTTTTCTGGATTTAAATTTTGAGTTAACAGTTTTTAAAACGGCTCAAATCGAGCAGTTTAACAAGACTAGCTGGCTTCAACTTAATTTTAACTTTTTACGTTATGATTTAGGAATTTCAACTTCAACTATACTTATTTTTCATAGAAAAGATAGAGAAAATATGATGGAATTTGGTAAATAAACCTTGATTTTATAAGGTGTGGTTAAATTATATTTCATTTGTTTTAACCCTGGTCCAACCGTATACATTTTGTAAAAAATAATATAGAGGCATATTGCTATTGATACCTGATGTGCGCTAGGGTTAGGGATGTTATAAAAATAAAACAATAACCTTTCGCTTTTTTATCACTGGATAGTGTTCTTTTATAGGAGATGGCTAGGGTAGGTTAGATTAGTGAGTTAGATTTCACCTAAACACAGGGCATAATTTAAGATAGGGCAGTTAACCCTCAATACATAAGCCAATAAACCTCAGACTCCATTAAGGGGAATTTATCTATCTAAAATGACGCGGATACGAATCAATACATTAAATGACATTGCGAATATTTAATAAATTATAAGTTTTTAAAAAATAAATTAGAGTCTATCAATCACGTTCTTTGTTAAACATATTAAAAAAATAGGTTAATATCAGTGGCGTAGCTAAGAATTTTTCAAGTAGACGGTCTAACTACAAAAGCCTGGAGGGGTCTTCACCCCCAGACCCCCTACCTTGCTTCAAAATAGAAATGCTTCCGGTTATGGGTTTGATTGTTTAACTATTTCTAACTATGATTAATATTGTTTTTATTAAACTGTTTAATTTTTTTAATTCCTAAATTTGAGCTTCTCTTATTGGGAATAATATTCCATCACAGCCACATTCCCTAACTTTCAATGAACCAGTAATATTCGACATATCTCGTTATTATTTGCAATTTTATTCAAGTCTATCAATAGGTCTAAGTTCTCTAAATAATCTCCAATATGCATTTTTGGCTTCAAATGATACCCATAACTAAAAGTATACGATTAGTAAGGAATTTTATAATTTTATTTTAATCTCCTGGTGATGACTAACATACTACAATGTAATTATTGAATTCCCATTTGACAAATGACAACAAAACAGAAATCAAAATTCGGTTTCCTGTCTTCGCATGATACATCTCCAATGTTTCCATCCATAATAGTGATTTCGAAATTTACTAAGTTATATACAACTATAAAATAATTTAATAGTAAATATATTAATAATTCATATTTTATAACCAGTACGAAGTTTCATAACACTACTTTTAAAATATAAACCAATTTATATCATTTAAAATTATAGAAAAATTAATTAAAATTTAATACTGTATCGTCTGCATATATTTGGTCTGGAAGGGGTTCTTCAAACCCCAATTATCAAGATCCAAATCAGACAAATTTTACAGTGCACGATTTTTTTACGGCTAGCTCAATATCTCAACCAGAAAAATTAAAGATTTTGCTAATAGATATCTGGAGCTATGAACCATGTATGAGAAAATTCTTCCTTGCATAATATTTTCTGCATTAAACATCGAGTTGTTTGACTGTATCAGTTTTTTGTTTATGAGTTTATAATATTTGATGATTATTTTAAAAAAAATTTATATATGCGTCAAAAAATTAAAATAGAAATTTTTAGATAAATTATGGTTCCCTTTAAGGAACACAATTATGATTTTATTTTAATAGTGTTATTAAAAAATCGATTTGAGTTGATTTTTAAAAACGGCTCGATGAAGATTTTAGTCAAAATATATATTATGTTAGTCCAGAGATTTGGTAAAAAGAGTTCAAACCTTTCTGCTATCTATCTAGTTTAAATATTATCTTGGCTAAAATGATAATTGGGCCGTTTTTAAAAATCGACCATTAGGTCTAAATCAGAGAGTTGTAGGCCCGGCCCTAAATCCGGGTGAACGGGCCGGGTTGTATTCTTTTTTAAATATGCTCCGTAAATTTTTAAATACCCGGGCTGGGCCATATATTTTAAAACCAAATATTTCAAATCGCCGTTATAAGCTATGAAAATTAAAAAATAAATATAATATATATTTTAAAAAATCAGGCGGGTTTGGGAAAATAAAACCCGGGCCTGGCCGGGCCGTGCACATGATACCTCTGCAGATCTCTGGCTTAAATATTATGATTTTTTTTATTAAATAAAAATATTATTATAGAGAAAAAAAAATATCAAAAATGATAACATCATCTTAATACGGATTTCCCAATTCAAAAAAGGAAAATAATAAAATCAAAATCGTTATTTATTCTATTGTTTTATTTTCAAAAATTAAAAATAGTTTTTGAATTTTATGAAATGAATTTTCGTATTATTTGCATTAATAAAGTTCTAATATATTATCTTGAGCATTTTTTTGCTAATATTTCATCATTCATTATTGCCTATAATCTTCTTTCTATAAATATTCTTCCCCCTTGAAACTTTTTAAGTTTCCTTTCAAAAAATTCTTTTGCATATATGTATATTTTATTATGAAGTATAATAAGTTGATAATTGAAGTTATTAATAGTCTCAACGTCATTAGCTTAAAGGGCCTGGGTGATCTTTGACAATTGAACCGCTTCTGCATTTAACTTAAATAAAATTAACATCCCCACTCTTTTTTATTTCTAGTTTCTCTATTTAACTTTAGCTTTCAAATTTAAAATAATAATTTCTTATCTTAATTTATATATATATATATATATATATACTGATAGATAATATAAACATATTACATAACCAAAGTTTATAACAATATACAAAACATTTATAATGCATTTATTCCTATAATTTTATTATTGAGAGAATTTAAAAAAAAATTTTTTTTGATTGAATTGAATTTGAAATAATAGTGATAGATATAATAGATATATTAGATATTTATGTATAAAAAAATATGAATATTTTCATTAAATCATTAGTGTAAAATAATATATTTAAAATATTACAAAACAAAATTTTTCTGATTATATTATTTTTATTTTAAAAAAAAAATAAAATAAAAAATAATAAATTATAGGTAATTGCACTTTATATGACCGTGTATTGTCGTGCCACAATCTGTTATAAATATCAATAATTCATAAAATAATTAAACAACAATTCTTTCTTTTTCCCCGTTCAATATGTTTTTTTTATTTGTTTATTTTTGTTTTATATACTTTTTATAATAGTACATTTCTTACCTTTACCATTATTACACTTCAAAAATTTTATTTAATTTTTTATTTATCATACATTCTTTTTTATTATATTCTTTTCTATTTTTAATTATATTATTTTCTCTATTTTTATTATATTATATTCTTTTCTATTATTATTATATTCTTTTCTCTATTTTTATTATATTCTTTTCTCTATTTTTATTATATTCTTTTCTATTTTTATTATATTCTTTTCTCTATTTTTATTATATTCTTTTCTATTTTTAT